CACATCAGGTATTTTTTTCAGTGAGTTAATCCAGCTGTTATAGAAAGAGGGGTCTGACTGGCCTTTAAACAAGATATCAGCTTCATCAACCATTCCACCAGTGACCTCTGTGATACGCTCACTAAATGTGCTGCTGAAACTTTGGCCATGGCCTAATTTCTTTTTCTCTGCCTCACAGTGTTTGGTCATGGCCTCAATACGGGCAGTATTTAGAAAGCTACATGAGGCCTCAACTGACAAACAGTCACTGACCTCTGTCGCTGACACTCCACTCATGGCTGCCTCGCAGGTCTTGATAGAAGTGAATGCTTTTATTTCCCCTCCTAGAGATACCTGTGTGATGTAATGTGTACCATATGTGTCAATCAAACCGCGATACAGTGTCTCAGTTCTACGTGAATAGGCAGGAAGAGATTTTATGGCTGAAGAAAATTCATGGCTCAGTGGAGGATTTGTTGCCAGTCTGTATCTGTGAAGCACAGAAAGTAAATAAGTTACAGTTACAGTGTATCACAGTGCCTTTTTATTCATGTTATTGTTAATTTAGTCTTTTACTCATACTCACCTATAGACGATAGAGTGGACAGAATGGCGAAGGAAGGTGTATCGGTCTTGTTTTGACTTTTGCATGGCAAAGGTAGAATCCCTGGAGTGGGACCCTCCAAAGCCAACCCCAATAGTGACACTGGGGTCTACAGGGATTTTAAGGCCAATTTTCCAGTCATTGCTCACAGATGATGTGGAATCGTTGACAAGAGTTTCAACAGAATCATAGACTGTACCAGAGACCTCTAAGGTGGACTTGGGAATGATCCTCCAGTCCACCACAGCAACTGGGATCTTCTGCTTTTCCCTATTCATGTAGTCGTTACTGACTAACTTGCAAGTGCCATTGCCAAGGTTCCATTTTTCAGTGTCGATGACATAGGCATATTTGCGTTCCATTGTGACGATGTCGAAGCCTTCTCCACCCAGATTGTAACCAGGGACAAAGTGAGCTTTTTCACACTCCTCTGTTGTGCCAATGAGGGTTACAGTGGCTGGCAGACATAGAGGCATCCGTGCACAGCACAGGAGCATGACTTGCCACAGCCTCGCCATCTGTATGCAAAGAGAAGACAACATGGCATGGACAAAATATCAAACAATGCAAACTTTGAGTATATAAATTCAATATAAATTGGATGGTATTATGGTACGGAAAAAAGGAATAGGAAACATTTGATCTGAAAGATTATTCATCTCGAGCTATTAGTTGCAGATAGGAGAGGCCTCAGGGGTCTTACCGTACTATGACTGTTGACAGCAAGCTCTGTTCACTAACTTCCAATATTTGCCTTATTTTATACTTTTGATGTGGAGGTGGAGTCTTCATTGTTTATGTGTTTTTCACACATTGCATGCATTCATAATGTGTAACATCTATATTTCCTTCATACCCTATTGAGAAGAGAGATTAAACTTAAATGGCCACATGGGAAAACTGGGCCTTTTTGAAACATGGTCCCACTAACACAGCCCCTTCTGCTGTTGTTCTAACACATGGCTGTTTTCAGTTTTATTGTCTGCTACAATTTGAGACAGCATGCAGAATGGAATGAGACTTGCAACCAAACCTCAGCACACTGAGGCTAACTTTGCCATGTAGAGTCCTAACAATATCAGTTATCCTATTGTCTAATCAATGTAGCTGAGGTTTGGCTAAATGCTAACTGCTGTATTTTTTTGATGAGCTTTAATCTTCAACACGCAGATAAAACAAAAGGTATATCTCTTCAATCTGTGTCTTTTTTGTATGAGCTTACACACAGCAACTTAATATCAGCAAACAGACAGCAGTGCACATAAGCTGGTAGCCTGTGTTTGTGTGTGTGCGCCTTTTGCACTTGGTTGTATAAACTTAACACTCTCTTTTGGCACTGCACAGCTTCAATACTACACTATGTAAACTCATGAACAAAAGTGTGAAAACACATGGCTTTGATTACCAGTCTGACAGTACAAACACATATTTACTTAGCACATACATATTAATCGGGGGGTGTTTTCACTGGGTTGAATATTTTGGGGTAAATGACAATTTGCAGGCTTAACTTTACATTTAGCTTTGGAAGGCCAGAATGTACCAATGGATATCACCAGCTAAATGTCTTGGTGGTTGCAACACCTGATGCCAGCATGAGCAGCAAGGCCCACAAAAACAGCTTAACTGTTATTCCATCTTACAACCCAAATCTGAAACAGTTAGGATGGTATGTAAAATTAAATTTAAAACAAAACAGCGCCATGTAAATCATCTATACGCTGTATTACGTTGAAAACACAGCAGCACATTATTTGATGTGACAGCAACTATTTTATTCTTTGTTCAAATAAATACTCACTTCAGTTCTGATGCCTGCAGTTTTGGAGCAACATATGCTGCCTTCAAGACGACATCTTTTCCAGGGACACCTATGCATATTTCAACAAGACAGTGCGAAACCTCATAGTGCACATTACCAAGGCCTGGCTGTGGAGGAAAAGGTTGTGAGTGCTAGACTGGCCTGCCTGCAGTCCCAACCTGTCCCCAGTAGAGAATGTGGTGCATTCTGATGTTACAGCATCAGAATTGAAGTGTTTGTTCTGAAAAAAGATGATAAGGTGTCACATTAATGTACTTCTGTATTGTTTTCAGGTAATACAGGACACAGATATACAAATCACTATTTTCAAATTCAATTTCACATACCATCCCAACTTTTTCTGATTTGGGTTGTAAGATGGAATAACAAGTTAACAGTTTTTGTGGACCTTGCTGCTCATGCTTGCATCAGGGGCTGCAACCACCATGACCTTTAGCAGAAGGTTGTATATGCTATAGCTTTGTTTGTTTGTCACCCTTGCTGTGAATGTTCCTCTTTATCTAGGGTTTAATTTCTTCGTACTTAGCACTTTTTGTGACACCTCTGGTTGTCGTGTGCATTTGCTTTAGACAACATCATGTGTTAATTGCAATATACTGCTGACTAGGAGCAGTTTTAATCCCATTCTTCACTGCTGCAGTAATAAAAAATTAGGGCAAAAGTCTTTATAGCAAATAACCCCTCAGTAGCACCTCATTTAAGAGGAGCACTGGTTATGTCAAGGTTCAGGCTTGAGAAGGTCCCAAAAGCAGACACAGACTAAGGAGTAGTATTTAGTAGATATTAATATAATTAATACTGGACATAGAGACAAATATAACTCCTGGGGCTCAACCTGGCAAGCATAGCCAAGATGTCTCCAGAAACCTACAATGAGACAGTTCAGTCAGAGAGCTAAATAAACTAAAACGTACACAACTAAACTCCAAAAACCCAAGGGAATAGGCAAAAAATCCAAGATGACAGGGAGGTCCAAAGTCCATACGTAGTGCAGGAGAACGAGTCCAAGAGCTACTAGGCAGAAACAAAACTGGAAACACATACAGACCCACAAGAAAACAAAGGTGTAGTGAGCAGACAGACCAATGTCTAACTGAGGGAAGTGAGGAGAATATAAAGGCTTAAGACTTGGAGACAACAAGCAACAGGTGAAGACAATGTATGGTAACCAAGAACCGGCGTAAAGCTGAGGCAGGTGAGATGACAAAACAGGAAACCCCTTCAACAATAAGTACCAAAGATGAAGCAAGTCCAAAACACTAAGAGGATAAAATTTACTTTATTTAAATTATTTTAATTGGTCAATATACCTCACAAAATTAGGGTCGCATCAGGAAGGGCATCCGGTGTAGAAACAATGCCAAATTTTGAACTATGTGAATCGTCATTGTGGAAACAGATGATTCACTGTGGTGACCCCTAACGGGAAAAGCTGGAAGTGGAGGAGGAGGAGGAGGAATGTTCTTCACAAAACTGAGCACGCTCTTTGAAAGTTTTAAATGTTTATACATGCATATGCAGTTATGAATATGCATTTCAGTGGTATGCATATTGAACAGTTTTTAAATTCATAATGTCATACAGGCAGACATCTGTGTTCTCTTTGTTGATGCTTTATTTGCAGATTTTCCAGCTTTTCACAAACACACTGCCAGTTGAGTCTATGAGAGGGTGTTTAGGCCATAATTCATACTTTCTCACACAGACACAACTATAATCTTCTACACACACTACGTCCTCTTACATATACAGTTATATTTTCCTTTATTTACTTCCATACTCTCCTACACACACTATTATTTTCTCTAACACGCACAACAATACTCTCTTATATGCACCATCATAGGCCCACCCTTCCACAGACAGCACCATATATTCTCATATGTTACTACTGTAGTCATATATTCTCATATATACTGTATGTGCATGCACACATGCACAAATATTATATTCTTGCATAACAGTTTATGTAAGTGGGAATAATTGTATATGTAATAAATTATGATGGAATATGTAAGTGAGTTCAATATTGTATGTGAAACTGAATAATAGCATATGAAAGAGAGATTAATGGTCTGTGAATGAGAATAGTCATGTGTAAGCAACAGCATGATAGTGAATGTGAGACAGAGGAGTTGTCTGTGTGAGAGTTTGCTTGAAAAGGAAATAAAACTGAAGTCTCCATTCCTGATTAGCTTATCTTCATACACAAGGGCTTTGGCCCACCTTTCCAATCATCAGGAGAACATGGCGGACAAGCGACGACTCAGTGAAGCTGTTCAAATGCAA